AATATTCTTTTTATTCATGTTTCCATGCATGTGAAACACTACAAGTTGTCATGATATAACTGTAAGTAGTTGATGACGTCTATCAGTTGTAGTTGTGCCTGCAGAAGAGGATTTCTTAAAATGAGTTATACTGGACGCTAAAGACAGTTCTGTCATATTTTGTAAGATAATTCAGGAATTGCTTGTGGTTATGTATTATCATAAGTATGTCACATTTATAATATGTTAGTACAAGAATTAGATGAAGTTGTATGATATCTTATTATGTCCATTCTCAGAAATTCAAGAAATGGAAGTGTTCCAGCATATTGTATGATCACTTCTTTTTATTTTTATGTAGCTGAAGATGTTCTTGTGAATTAGATATTTTGCTTGTTGGGATTTATCAAATCAAAAAAACTGATGAAGAAGTACCTTTTATAGCTCAACAATATGAAAATACTTTGATTCCTTTTCTCGACTTTATTCATCTTCCATATGTGATTGGTGGGTGGAATGATTGTCTTAGTCTTATCTAGTGATCTTATTTAAATAGTTCATCCTCATATTTTGGCCATCCTAACAGGTCAAAGGCGAGCCAAACATTTCATATATCTGTTCACGTTATTATCGTGCGCCCGAACTAATATTCGGAGCAACTGAGTACACCAATGCAATTGACATTTGGTCTGTGGGTTGTGTCCTAGCTGAACTGCTTCTTGGACAGGTTGTATTTATTGTGGAGTTCAATTCCTTTATTGAGAAAAAAAAATACTGTAATGATTGATTGTTTCACGCTAATCTTTTCTCTTCCAAAACTTGTAGCCCCTCTTTCCTGGTGAGAGTGGTGTAGATCAGCTCGTCGAAATAATCAAGGTATCCATCTATTTGATTCAATGATGCCATCTTTAGTTTGCACAATTCAATAAATCAAAATGTCCTCTTTAGGTTCTTGGAACACCAACTCGTGAAGAAATCAAGTGTATGAATCCAAATTACACCGAATTTAAGTTCCCGCAAATCAAAGCTCACCCCTGGCACAAGGTAAGAACCCTGAGCTATAGTTCTGTGTAGAAGATACATTTTCTGATGCATTTCACGGCATGCATGCACATCAAGAAACTCATGACCGTACTCTGCATTGTACAGATTTTTCACAAGCGGATGCCTCCTGAAGCTGTAGATCTTGTGATAAGGCTTCTACAGTATTCTCCAAATCTGAGGTGCACAGCGGTGAGTGTACCAAGTTCTCTCCCTAATTTTTTTCCTTATCCTCCAGTTCAAACTCAGTGTGGTGAGGGCAAAAGAAAGTAGTACTTGTTGAAAATTCCATATCATATTTTAGGCAGCAATCATTTGTGTCGGGAAACTTTATTATATTGTGATGCTTTTCTGTGATCTATTTGATTCATTTTGCAGTTGGAAGCTCTTGGTCACGCTTTCTTTGATGAGCTCCGTGACCCTAATGCTCGTCCTCCTAATGGTCGTCCATTGCCATCTCTCTTCAACTTCAGACCTCAAGGTTTAATTTTTATCTTCTCCTCCAGTTTTGTTAATTGACTTCTCCACCCCACTCATATTCATATAGTAGTTGTTTTTCTTATTATGAGATTATGTCATTTGCAGAGCTGAAAGGAGCGTCTTCAGAACTCTTAAACAAACTGTTACCAGAACATGCTAAAAAGCAGTGTCCCTTACTTGGAGTCTAGTCTGTAAGAATTTGTTTATCTTTTGTGAACTTGATCCTATTTATTATCACTGTTCAGAGAATTAGGAAAACCTTTTGACATCTCCATTAGTCTATTATATACCACTTCTTCGCCAATTATGTAATCAGCTGATTCCCCCCGTACTCTACTTAATTATTTGTAAATAGTAATGTATTACGGGATTTACCTTATTCCTTATCGACAATTTTATTTTTGTATGCACATCTTAGTTTGCATTTTTTACTGCATTTTGGTCGATTCTATTACACTTTGTTTGGATCATTGTTACCCATTGCTTTATAATGTATTCTATTGTATTATATTGTATGGTAGATACAATGTTTGGTTAGATTGTATTGTTTGTTGTTGCTTAATAACATTTTAATTGTTTGGTTTGATTGTTTCGTACAATATTGTAATTTATAAATTTACTAAAATATCCTTAATTATTCTAGGGTAGTAGGTTTGACTAGATTTAAATAAATAAGGTAAAGGGTAAAATAGTATTTTGAAATATTATGTGAAGATATAATTAAAAAAAGAAATTAAGTAAAAACAAAAACACATCAAATCGGTTGTTTTACAAAATAAGAATTTTCATTGTAACAACGAAATTTAACAATATAGTACAATACATTTTAAGTACCAATTAAAATAAATATTATAGGTGTAGTAACAATATAATACAATACAATATGTAATAATGATCCAAAGATAGTGTTACTCTCATTCGCGTTAATACTCCAACGCAATTGATTCTACATTCCAACTAAAGTCTTCACCTTGTCATATGTAACTTAAATATATATTACTAACATAGGCTTAATTGTCCAAACAAAATAAAGTTCACTAAACGCTTTGCTATACCAACACCCACCTTGTTGAGTTACTATTACATATTCTGATGAACCTACTACTATCTTTTGTAAGGGAGTTTGATGAAAAACATGTATTTCAATCATTTTATTTTGCTTAATTCGTATTCTAGATATTTTATTCTACTCATCTATTTTAGTAAATTAAGAATTTTTTTTTTCTATACTACCCTTAATATAAAATGACTACATAAAGTAATAGTAGTAATTAATAATCAAATTTAGGATTCCAAGGCATCATTAATAAAGTTAGTTTAGTAAAACAAATCTTAAATAAAGAGATATTATGTTAGGTCAACATAACCAAGTAGTAATATGTTAGTTCATACTTTTTTTTATAAAAATAAAGTAAATTCTTCGATTTTTTTTTGAAATATCTATCCTTCTTTTAATGAGATAACCAGATAAATATAGATGATAATAAAAAAAATAGATTTACATTCTGTCCTTAAATATTTTTCTCGTGTCATACTTCAAACAATCATATATTCATATAAAAGAGAATCATAGGTCCGCCTACGTTATTCTACCACAAGTAAAAATTTCTTTTTAAATTTATTTATTTTCAAAACTAGCTTTCCTCTTCCATTAAAAGATGGTACTTATTGTTAGAATCGAATTCACGCACACACACTAGATGAATGAATAACACAAGAACTTTCAAGAGAAAAGAGATGAGAGATATATAGAGAGAAAGAGAAAATCAATATTTCGTGGTAACACCCCGTAAGTAAACTTCCACGGCGGTGAGATATATTTATATGTTAATAAATCAGAGTATTTTTGGTTACAGATAATAAATAGAGAATAAATAGGAAAGCCTAAACAGTTATATATATTAATCAGGCTCCACTACCTAACACTTATGTGAAGAGTTCCGACTTTTATCAAAAGTCACGTCTTTTATTAAAAGTTGTGACTTTAACGAAGAGTTGCGAACATTTATCGAGAGTTGCAAACATTTATCGAGAGTTGCGACATTTATAAAAACTTGTGACTTTTATAAAAAGTCGTGATTTTAATAAAGAGTTGCGGCTTTATGAAAAATTGTGACTTTTATGAAAGATTGTGAACTTTTCAAAAGGTTGCAACTTTTACAAATAGTTGTAACTTATCTGATAAGACACAATAAACATTTGTTCACACTACCCTTTGTTGACTATAAATATAGAAATTTTCTCTCGTTTTAAAACAACAAAATTTTGATCTTCTTCTACTTTTGCAAAATTAAATATTCGCATACTTTGCTCTTGTTGAGTAACTTAGTGACACAAATGTTTTTGTATCAATAAGTTGATGAATAAAATCGTTCCATCTTAAAGGATGCAATTCTTTAAACCTTTGGTATTGGAGGAGAATAGTTTTCTCAAGGGAACATTGTGCATTCACTAAACTCGATTTTTTTCTTTCTATTTTTACATATCCTGCTATGTTTTTTTACACTCGTTAATTTATACTTATGATATTTTATTGTTGTTTTTGAATACACGTTTTAAACTTTCTTGTTTATATTTCTACAAAGTCATTGTCTCCGATTATATTGAACATATACACATATAGTACGTATATTCATTGTGTAGAAAATAGTTATTGTAATTAGTTCAAAGAATTCATGTTTTGATATTTTATATTAAATTCTATAACTTAAAAGTACTATATATAAGCTGACATTTTTACATAAATATGAAATTTCTCATTTATCAATTGAAGAAATTTATTATGCAAGTTCAAAAGTTATAATTGCTTTCATGCTCAAGCATGATCTCTTTTTTGAATATGTTAACAAATATTTAAATTTTCTTCTAAGACATATATCATAATTGTATAATCTATGCAACTTAAATGTTTTTTTACCACGAAATATCTTGCACATATATTCTTATTTTCCTTTCAATGTTGCTTAAAGAATCAATGGTTTATCATTTCGTGAATAATTCAATCATTAGAGGTTCTTGGGTTATGTGATAATGACAAATAAATAAATTAGTGTTGGAATATTAATGATAATTTTTTAAAAATAATTTTTTCATAATTTTAATTGTATGAATATTAGTAAATAAATATTTTCAAGTTATTATTGTTTATGATCGCGCGAAAGGCGATCATATTACCTAGTTGTATATATAATATGAAATAAAGAGAATAATTTGTAAGTATAATATTATTATTTTTCGTCGTTCAGAAAAACAGTAGTATCTAAATATACACTGCCAATGGGCGGGAGAGTTTTATTCCGCGTGGAGATATTATTGTGTGGGTAAGTAATTGGCATTTTACTAACCTAACCATGGTTAAAATATTATTGTGGGTTTAATACGCACTATTCTTGTTTGTCCCGTTTCTCATATCTCTGCTCTCTTTCTTATATATAAGTATCCATCTGTCAGCCAATTCTATTCCTATTTATAGCACTCAAACCATCAGAAGCGTAGGTTTCTCTCTGCTTCTCCGCTGCTTCACTCATACCTTTGTATACTTTTATATATAAATTATTTAGCAGAGTGAGTGGGAGGGAGAACGGACGGGAGACATCGTCGGAGGTGGGAATCGTTTGTATCAGCTTCTTTTATCGTCATCGGAAAGACTTTGTCAGGTATCATATCTCATTTATACTCGCGATGATTCAGATCTGAGTTGAACTTGCTAGGTTTGGTATTTGACCCCTGATATGTGTTGGTTAACCAGAATGCAGGGTTTTAGATGTTTTATTTTTTTGATTGTCTGGCCTCGATATTGTCGTTATTTTGAAGCTGAACTAGATAGGTTTTGCCTTGAGCTGAAGTTGTTTGGCATTTGAACCCTGTTATGTGTTAATAAATAAAAATTTAGGGTTTTAGATTTTTTTTATCTTTTTGATTGTTTGGCCTCGATGTTCTTGTCCTTTTGAAGTTGAACATGGTAGGTTTGGCCGAGAAGTTGAACTTGTTTGGCATTTGACCGCTGATATGTGTGATAAATAATAATGTAGGGTTTTAGATGGTTTTTAAAAATTGTTTGGCCCCGAAATTGTCATCCTTTGGAAGTTGAACTTGCTATGTTTGCCATTTGACACCTGCTATGTGTTAGTAAACGAGAATGTAGGGGTTTTAGAATGTTTCTTTTATTGTTTGGCCTTGAGTTGAACTTGTTTAGCATTTGACCTCTGCTGTGTGTTAAAAAATTAAAAATGTAGGGGTTTAGTTTTTTAAAATTGTTTGGCCTCGATGTTGTTGTCCTTTTGAAGTTGAACTTGATAGGTTTGACATTTGACCCCTCCTGTGTTTAATAAATAACCATGTAGGGTTTAGATAATTTTTCTTTCGATGTTTGGCCTTGAAATTGTCGTCCTTTTGAAGTTGAACTCGCTAGGTTTGGCATATGACCCCTGCTATGTGTTAATAAACAATAATGTAGGGTTTTAGATTGTTCTTATTTTAAAAATTATTTAGCCTCAATGTTATCGTCCCTTTGAAGTTGAACTTGATAGATCTGGCATTTGATCCCAGCTATGTGTCATTAAATAATAATGTAGAGTTTTAGATGATTTTTTAAGAAAATTGTTTGGCCTCGATGTTGTAGTCCTTTTGAAGTTGAACTTGCTTGGTTTGGCATTTGACCCCATTTACGTGTTAGTAAATGACAATGTAGGTTTTTAGATCGATTTATTTCATTGTTTGGCCTCAATGTTGTGGTTGTTTTGAAGTTGAAGTTACTAGGTTTGGCATTTTGACCCCTGCTACGTGTTTGTGAATGATGATGTAGGGTTTTAGATCATTCTTTTGTTTGTTTTAGGTTTTTGTGACTTTTTTTGTTATTGCTTTGTGTTCCAACAGTTCAAAAGCCTTTGAACTAGTGCAGTGTTGTGAAAAGCGCAGAAAAGAACGCTTAAAGCGCGTTTCAAAGCGAAGCGATACCAGTGCCCTTCTTTCTCCTGAGGCGATGCGATCTGAAAAAGGCGCTCGCTTCAGATAACGTTGCGAGAAGCGACACTAAGGCAAAAGCGCAATAAAGCGCGCTTTTTATAAAAAAGCGACAATTAGTTTTTTTTTTTAAAAAATTAGTTAAAAAAATCTGAAATATACAATATAACTTAATTTTTCTTTCATGACTCTTCTTTCGCTTCTTCTCTCTTCACGACCACGACTGAGACTGCGTCTCTCTTCACACATCGACTGCGACTGCATGTAAGTGTTAGCCGATGTTTATTAGTTCATCTCTATGAGTTTCTTTTCTCCTGAAATATACAATCTTCGCCTTTGTTTCATCTCTGTGAGTTTCTTTTCTCTTCAAGAAATGTACGAAGGAGAAAGTCTCACTTATGGTGATGTTTCTGTGGCAAGTGGTGTTGAGGAGAATATTTATAGTTTTAGGGGGAGTACTTTAAGGGGCAAGGAAAGAGGAGTTGGAGGTTCTAGTTCAACTCGAAACCTTGTTGATGAGCCTTCTGATGATGAAGAAGATGATGACCAAGTAGAACCCTTGGTTATGGCACTTGAAGAGTTTGAGGATCTTGTTGAAGAATAGGAGTTTGAGTCTTCGTGATTTAATTATGTTTTTATTTTTGCTTTATATGTTATGACTTATGAGTATTATTGACTATCTATTTTCTTTTAATCTAAGACTATATTACCTCTATTTAGTTATTTTTTTATTTTTATTTTTATACTAATTTCGCTTTTTTTTAAAAAAGCGTGCGCTTTGCTTCACGCTTCTCGCTTCTGTGAAGCAAGCCCTCGTCGCTTTTTTCCGCTTATCGCTTCCCAAAACACTGAACTAGTGCCACTTGCGTGAATATAATGCTTTTGTGCATGTTTGAGTTGAGAGTAGTCCACTTTCGTGTTATTGTAGTCAGTAGCGTATGCAAGATTTTTCAAAAGTGATGTTGACATTTAAAGAAGAGAACGGATTAGATGAAATAATGAAATTTTTTAACCTTAGGGTCTTAAATCTATATTGACTAATCAAGTTAAAAATTGGTTAAATAAATTTAATGTTTACAATTTATGCAAAAGCGGAGAGCTTGGTTGATGGGTTTTGATTTGATCCTTTAACAATTAAGCGCTTCAAATTAAAAGAATCACAGAATCACACGAATTCACTGAGTAGGAGGTTCAAAGTCGGGGAAAATGCAACATAAGTTATGAGCTTAACCAGGGACCATAGAGCACTGTGTGTTATCATTCAATAATATATGTTCACGTACTCTATTTTTTCAGGTTTTATATATATAAGAAATTTTTGATGAATCAGTGTCAGATGACACCCCTTGCCACAAGGTGCATCCAGCCTGTAGTCTCAAGGGAAAACGGCAGTCATGTTAATTTATTCCCATAGATAGTTAGTGTTCCTGCTCTCCGAGTGTTGTGTAATGGCCATCCATTTATTCAGTTTTACGTATTTGACCTCAAGTGTTTTGTTGTCTAGGGGGAGGGTAGCGTAATGGTCAGACCCTTTACCCTACGGTATTATTGGAGGATTGAATCACCATGGTAGCAAGGTCGGAAGGGGTCACAGTTGGTTGTCTGGGTTGGGTTTCTTTGGTTAGTAAGGGGGTTGGTATGCAAAACAATTGTGTGCTGCCTTTTGCTTTTATCAGTATAACTGTGCGAGGGGCACAGTTACTTGTGTTGCTTTGTCTCTGTTAAGAACATATCTACTACTCTTGAAGTAACATGTTCTCTTCCCTTGTGTAGTTCATCTTCTTCTCTCTTTTGCGCAGCCTTATTTAGCTGTTTTGGCTGTAGTACATTTTTAGTACTCCCTCTGTTTCAAAAGGATGACCTAGTTTGACTTGGAACGGAGTTTAATAAAAGAAAGAAGACTTTTAATCTTGTGATTCTAAATTAAAGTTATGTCAAATGTACCAAAATGCCCTTTGATCTTGTGGTCTTAAACATGCCACGTGGAAATTTAAAGTTAAAGTGTTGCAAAAAAAAGAAATGCGTCATTCTTTTTGAAACAGACTAAAAAGAAAATAGGGTCATTTTCTCGAAACTGAGGGAGTTCCATCTTATAAACACTGTCAATCATTCAGGTGATGGAATATAACACATGAAAAATGTGATTCATGGATTTCTTTATAGTATTATTGCTTTGTTTAACTCTTATTCTCATTTCATGCTTTAAAGTCGTTTCGTCTTTTCTGGTGCCAGAGGTAATTGGATACTGAAGCTTGAGATGGCTGCTACTGCAACTGCATCTTCTACTGGTCCACGTTATGCACCAGAGGATCCCACCCTTCCCAAACCTTGGAAAGGCCTAGTTGATGGTAAGACTGGATATCTCTATTTTTGGAATCCAGAGACCAATACTACCCAATACGAGAAGCCTGTTGCTACTCCTCATGTGGGTGCTGCACAACATAAATCCTCTGTATCTGTAAGTTCATCAGTTGAGAGGCCTTCTCAAAGTCAATGTTCTGACCATGGTGACAACAGAGGTACCAATGGTGCCTTGAGCAAACTTTCCTCTGGAGAGGGTATTCAGGTATCTAGTTCTAATTAATACATGTGATTTCAATTTCTTCTCTCTAACTTTCAGTGACTTAGTGATACACAACAGGAGAAATCAGCAAACTTTTGTTTTGAATAGTATCTTGGGTTGTCTATTGTCATTTTGAAAATCACTATTTGAGATTAACTACATGTTCTCTCTGACAGTTCTAAATGCAAATTAGAACCTGCACTATGTATTACTTGGAAAAGATGGTATATATCAGTTTTCTTGATCTTTTGCAACCTTATGTTGTGCATCATATTTCCTATGTAGTAAATGTTCCAGTGGTTTGATATAACAAATAATTTGCAAATAACATATGTTTTGGCGCGTGTATGTTTTAGAGGAGTTTCATCTGTCTTTTTGTGATTGTAGTTATTGTAACAGCACTTAGAGAGGTGGTGTCTGGATTGGCTTTTTAACTCTCTTACAAGTTAAAAGTCAAAAGGCATAAGTTGGTAACCCCAACTTTTGACTCCTTTTTTTTTTTGTACTTTTTAAGCTTTTAAAAAGTGTTTAAAAGAACTTCTGATGTTATCCCAACACCTCCAAAACAAAAAAAATTTCTTTAAAGCCAAAAACCACTAAATTAAGTCAATCCAAACACCCCAAGTTTGAACCTCAAGTGGGTGTTTGGATTGACCTATTTTTTGTGACTTTTGGCTTTTAAGTTTTTTTTTTTAGTTTGGAAGTGTTAGGGTAAACTTTAAAAGTGCTAGAATTTAAATGTATGGAAAAAGCTAACCCAACTTATAGGTTTTGGCTTATAAGTCATTTTAGAAAACCCATCCAAACACCCCCTTAGACTCTTTCCACAATTATTTCCTGATTAATATCCAAATTATACTTACTCTACCAGTGGATTTCTTTTGGTCTAAGTAGATTTTTTCTTTCACCTTTAAATAGTTTCCTAAATTGTCTTCCGTATTTTTGCTAAAACATGTTTCCCCCCATCATTCTTGTAGACTGCAAGAGCAAATGAGCTTTCCCGCGATGAAACATCTGCGCCTAAAGGTTATAGTGCTTCAGCTGCCGCGAGTGACATATCTCCAGATGCCTATCGCCGTCAGCATGAAATTTCTGTCTCAGTAAGCATCTGTTGTACCTTTTCAATCAAATAGAATCATTTGTTATTGGTCATTTTCGTTCTCGATTAGTGCCATATTATTTGTGTATGATTCTACTAAATATGTCTTTTTCATTTTGTCGAAAATCGATTATGACCATGAGTAGTGCATGACATAAAGTTTATGTGAATAACAAACTTTTTGTGGAGATTCTCTCAGCGAACACTGCTATGTGCAGGGTAATAGAAAGTTAAAGGGCAGTTATTATGTCTTTGGTGACAGTAGTGAGGAATCTTTTTTGTAGTCAGGGTAATCCTTAGTTTGATGAAACACTATTATTTTTTAAAAAGAATTGTAAACAAGTAATGCAACTCAGACTGTTTTTTTTTTGGGTTCATCTAGAAGATGCAGTGTATTTTGGTGTCTTTGGTCTGTGATAATTATTGTGAATACAATTTGACCCGTAAATTTAACTTAAGATGTGCACACAGATCGTAGCACTGAGTGTGTCATCTCCTATGTGAAACTGATGATAACTTCATTACACTACTCATGTTGCTCATGGAAAACATGTGAATTAATTTCTTTGCATCTGCCTAGGATCCATCCTTCCGTGCAGACAAGCCTAAAAAGGCATGTCTGTCATACTCATGTTTTTTTCTTTTGATAATGAATACTCACGTCTATATTATGTTCTATTGTTCCAGGGAGGTGATGTGCCCCCACCTTTCACATCGTTTGAAGCTACTGGGTTTCCTTCAGAGATTTTGAGGGAGGTATTACTGTAGTCCGTTATTTTGTTTTAATCTCTTTTGGAACATCTGTAGCGAAGAGTTTACTTATTCATAAAGGGTCAAGTGTTCTTCTGTTAATTTCAATGGCTGCTGGAGGTCCATTGCAGTACTCATACAATTTTTCCCTCTGTACCTTGACGCAGATGCGATATTTGCTCCAGTGTGGAGCTAAATGTCGTACGCTGTGCAACCCTCTTTTTGGTCTTCCTTGTATTTGGAATTCCCTTATTTGGTGGACCAAATTTTGAAGGGCTTTCTGAATCATCCTTGTTCATGGCTGGGACTGCTGTTGGTGGTGTTAGTCTGCCACATGGTTTGACATGAAGAAGAGGCTTCCTCCTGCTCTTGCTTGCATATGCAAGTGTTGGCTGCCTGCGTAAGGGGGATATGCTTCTTCTTGTGTTAGCCACTTAAAAAAAACGTAGAAATAATCTAGGTGTAACTTCTTAGCTTGTATAATTGCTGACAGAGGTTTTCCAACTTTTACATTTCCAGATACATCAAGCTGGGTTTCCTGCTCCTTCCCCAATACAGGCACAGTCCTGGCCCATTGCACTTCAGGGCCGTGACATAGTAGCTGTTGCAAAGACTGGGTCTGGAAAAACTCTAGGTTTCTTGCTTCCTGGCTTTATTCTTCTAAAGCAACGTCGGAGTAATCCTCAATCAGGCCCTACTATTTTGGTTCTCTCGCCAACAAGAGAATTAGCCACACAGATACAAGATGAAGCTGTGAAGTTTGGTAGATCTTCAAAGATTTCTTGCACGGTATGAATTGTTATTTGACTATGTTTTGTAAAAAGTTTGATTCCAGAAGTAGATTTATCTTTTGATTTCCAATTACTGATGCAGGGCTAACTAATGGTTTAATTGTAAAAACCAAAAGTTAGCTTGGTCTGTCACATTTTTTTGCTATACTCCTTTACCATAATTTTCCTGTTAAGTCTGATTCTAAAGATCTCATCTTTTCGAATAGTTGTCTGGCCAAAAGTGAAACTTAGAGGGTAATCATTGTGTTTCTCATTTTGTGGTATCAAACACATATCTGCTTAATCCTATGCAATCTCTTTAAACGGTTATATGCTTCTTTTTCGTCAAACATAATTTTTGTTAACGTAAATAACCATGCACGAAGATAATGTTGTGCACTATTACGAAAAGGGGAAGGCCCCATTTACATTACTTGACAAAAAAACGAATGATTTTATTAAAACCTTTACAGAAGTATACTATTTTACACCTTCCCGTAGAACAATCAACAAATGTTGACATGCTAATGTTCAGGTCAGATGAACCAAGTGAATGTGTGTTTTAATTTTTTTGAAAATTGGCAATGCTGTATGGTTTTTGGTTAGTGTCTATATAGAGGGGGGACCCAACAGGCCCTCTGCTTTGACAATTTTCTTGAGAATTGACAATGCTGTATGTTTTTTGGTTAGTGTTTATATGGAGGCGCCCCAAAAGGCCCTCAGCTACGAGATCTGGATAGGGGAGTTGATATTGTTGTTGCTACCCCTGGTCGATTGAATGATATTTTGGAGATGAGAAGAGTTAGGCTGGATCAAGTTTCTTACTTGGTGTTAGATGAAGCGGATCGTATGCTGGACATGGGATTCGAACCTCAGATAAGGAAGATTGTGAAGGAGGTGCCTACGCGACGGCAGACACTGATGTACACAGCAACATGGCCTAAGGAGGTCCGTAGAATTGCAGCTGATCTATTGGTTAATCCAGTTCAGGTTAACATTGGGAATGTTGATGAGCTTGTTGCGAACAAGTCTATTACACAGGTGCATTTCTGTTCTGTTCTCTTTTCTTGGACCGTGCTCATTAAAAATGCCTAAGAGTCTCTCTCTCCTCTAAATTGGATTAGAGGACTGAGATGTCATGGTAGAATGTGCGTCCCTTATTATCCCTGAGCACCAAGGGAGAACCTGTACTTGACATAATGAGGTTACATCATGTTTAATTAATTGTCATGTGCAGTACATTGAAGTCTTGTCATATATGGATAAACAAAAGCGTCTAGACCAGATCTTGAGATCCCAAGAGCCTGGATCAAAAATCATTATCTTCTGTTCAACTAAGAAAATGTGTGACCAACTTGCTCGCAATCTTACACACCCATTTGGAGCTGCTGCTATTCATGGTGATAAATCTCAGGGTGAGAGGGATCATGTACTGAGCCAGTTCCGCACTGGCAAGTCCCCCGTTCTTGTTGCAACTGATGTTGCTGCTCGGGGCTTGGATGTCAAAGATATCAGGTTGGTGGAACTAAGAATCTTATAGTGTGCTTGATTATTTGTGGGTCACGTTTAATTCTCTTTTAATGGCTAACTGAATTAAAGAATATATATGCCTTCAACTTTTTATGGAGCGAGCATTTGGACCGACATATATTCCTTGCATGCTCTTCCCATGTTATTTCCCGTTAATCGATGGGGTGCAAACAGGCGTGTGGGGGTGGAGTTGTGTTTCTGATTTTGTTTTGGGTACCATTTGGTGATTTTGGGAGAGTGTAGGCCAAAAGTTACAACTTTGTACCTTTCATGTGTGATGTCATGATTTAGTTTGCAATGTAGATGGATGAGTAAAGTTCACATGGTATCCTTTCAATAAGATCTACTCTCCTAAGCTCCTTTCTTTTTCCATTTAGCTTTTATTGTTTGTTTGGGTTTGTAACTATGTGACCACTGAAAGTGGAAGAGCTATTTGATGAGACTTCATCAGATGATTGTACAAGAAGGAACTAGATAGATTAGAGAGAAAAAAAGAACAGATAAGAAAAAATGATAAATAAATAAAGGAATTTTGGGTTAGGTTAGCATCCGAGTTTGGGGCGGTATGGCATGGTTTGACATCATGCTGGAATTTTGTGGTTTTGACATTTGAAATATGCTCGAGCAGAGGTACCTCCAGAAACATTTTCTCTACCTTCATAAGGTAGAGGTAAGGTCTATGTACACTCTACCCACCCATCCCCTACCAGACCCCATGTGGGATTTCACTGGGTTATGTTATTGTACAATTAAAATATTTATGCATTCTTATAAATACTCTTTAAAGAGTAGTTTCTCCTAATATTTTTGGTAGTGGGATTTCTCTTCTATATAAGTTAAACAATTGATGAAACATTTGTGGCAGGGTGGTGGTCAACTATGATTTTCCAACTGGTATAGAGGACTATGTCCACAGAATAGGAAGAACTGGTCGGGCTGGTGCGACTGGTGAGGCCTACACATTTTTTGTTGACCAGGATGCTAAACATGCTTCAGATCTTATTAAAGTTTTAGAAGGAGCAAATCAGCAAGTGCCTACTGAACTACGTGATATGGCTTCTCGAGGAGGTGGTATGGGGAGGGCTAGGCGTCAATGGGATTCTGGCTCAGGTGGACGGGAAGGAGGACATGGGGGACGTTATGATGCTGGCTACGGTGGACGAGATGGAGCAAGGGGTGGTTGGGAAGCCCCTTCATCAGAAAGAAGTGGACGTGTTTATGACTCGGATTCACGTGACAGGTTAGCTGTGTATCAATTGTATGTGGATATCTTATTTTCCTTTTTTTTTCCATGTTCTGACTAATTGGTTGTGATTTGTTTAGAGATAGACATGGTCATGGCTCTGATGCTCCAGCTAGTTTCCATGGTCGAAGCTTCCATGAAACTATGATGCAGGGTTCACAGAGACGTGATAGAAGTAGGAGCAGAAGCCCTAATAGAGGTTCTGGATGGGGTGACAGAAAAGGCAGGGAGCGAAGTCGTAGCCGTAGTGCTGAAAGATCTGAGCGGACTCGTATTCAAGTTCCAGTAGGTGGCAGTTTCCATGAAGCCATGATGGGCTTCACTAGATCATCAGCTGGTGATTCCCGAAAGGACTGGGAAAAAGAAAGATCCCAAGGTGATGGGAAATCTGGCGATGGACCCCGTGCTAACAATTGGGAGGAGTAAGAAGGTAAAGGAGAGCCTGTGTTGATTTTTGATGTGTTGTAGGAAATGCTGGAAGAAAAAGGGGTCATTTTTGTTAAACTTTAACCACTACATGTTTTGGCAAACAGTGTTCTCGGATAGAAGAAGCTTTTAGCGTATTACTGGAAATAGATAGCTGAAAATCTGCAAATGGGAAGTTTTTGACGGATGTAAATGTAAAGTATTTTACCGTCAAACTTTGTTTAATGGAATCAGCCCACTTCTAAGTGTTGAGCAAATTTCTCTAGTTAATGCATTACTTTTACTCCTTCCATGTAGGGAAAGCAGAATTTACTCCTCCCCCGGAGGTATACAGGTTTTCTATAAAACTATTCACTATTAGTATGGAAGGGATAACTCAAGTCAAAGTATTCATGAAGAACGCAAATAAATAGTAGATTAATGGTTTTCATATTAAGACCTTGGTATTATTGTATGAACAAAGGACTGATCGACAATGATCAAACGATAAAAAAGAAGAAGAGAGGATTGAAATTATATTCCTATATGAAAGGGTTTCCTGTTTTAATACATGATTTTCCGCCAGATCAGAATAATTCAGTTTCAGTCATAGGCCTTAGTAGTTGATTTTGGTATTGCACTAATGTATAAATTACACATCTTGAAATGCAATAACGATTGCTTTAAATATCTTCTTCCATCTTTTGCCATCCTTCCATTATTGACAGGGATTCTCAAACTACTTGCTAGTTCCTGACCTAATCTTCCTATAACTCGAACCCAATCCACGAGTTCCTGTTTTTGGTTAACCTTTTCTTTACAGGGCATTATGACTACAGGATTTGACAACTTTCTTCACTTGTCACGCATCTTTTGGCTTCCCCCGTAATCTCTTTACTCTTGAATAAAGAAAGACTCCAGCTAGAGCCATAGCAGTCCCTGAATATATTGAACAGTGTCACAAGCTAGATAATTACTGATAGATAGATTCACTCAACCAATCAATAGAGATGTTAAGAAACTGATATACTTGATTCCAAAAAAAAAAAAGTAGTAAGTAGAGAATCAATATTTACCAAGGGAGTTAATTGGTGAAACGGGTGTTTGGAAGAAGATGACTGAGGATACAATGACTACCACTCTCTTCAGACAATTACCAACTGCATGTGTCACTGGTGATACCATCTGTAGTATCATGTATGAAACCTTTCCACAAAGAAAAAGATCAAGTAAGAATGAAACGTGGATTTAACGTATTTAAATTTGACGGGTTCAACTTTTAAGGTTATTGGCACTATATTCATTTTACAATTACGGGGTACAGTTTTTAATTTTTAGAAATTATCATGTTTTTTCACACATATAGCTGTGCTCCGAGTTGGAAATACTCAGTTCAGTTGAACATATTGCAAAAAGGCTGGCATCGGCTTCTAGTCAGAATAATGATGCTTAGTGATATAGTTTTCACTTTTCAGGAGGCTCTAAAGCAAACAGAACCAAAGTTAACAGAGCAGATTATCATGTAAATTTACAGGATACTAACCTGTTGGTAACTGTGCAAGCAGAATCCAGCTAAAAGAAGTCTCACACAAAGCTCTCTGACATGTAAACCTTGACTTGCCTAGATTGATACGGAAAACAAATCACATTGTAGTAAAAGTAGAAGATAAAAATCACTTCAAACATGGCTGGAAGTTAATATATACTACTTACAGCAGTATATTGTAGATAGGATGGAGTAAGCTTGATCCCTTCCATCAAAATGGCAGCAGGTACCAAAAGGATGAATGAAATGATTGTGATCATAGAGAACAAATTGATATTGTCCAATGCCTCCTATTAGACCATCTTTGACAGTTAATGGTTTCACAAGACAAAATTTGCATCTTCACCAAATATGATAAATTAAAAACTAAAAAAGGTAGCCCGGTGCATAAATCATCTTGCTTTCACCAGGGTCTGGAGAAGGGCCACACCCCAAGGCTACGACTGTTTTTTTAATATAAGAAGTAAGATAGCTGAATTTGAATACCTATGATGTTAGAATAATTGAGTATTTATTTTCCTAGCATCTGAATGTTTAGTGTCTATACCTCCTCTTTAACCATGAATTTTTTGCTAAATACATTACGCGATTGGTTAGTCAGATTGGAAGCCATTGCACTGCCAAAGCCTATCCTGTTCCAAAGACAGAGAGTTCAGAATCAATGTATAACTGCTATTAAGACCCCACAGTAACAACAATAACTGTGCAAAACTATTAACAGGAGTAGATAGTGCGACAGTTAGGAAATTGCAGTCTTCTAATAAGAACTTGTCAATCCATAAATATACCATGAAGTTACAGAGGTTGTACACCTGTAAACCGCCCCCTACAGCAAAATAGGCACAAGGAGAGAGCAATATATAGACCGGTCTAACCTACAGAAACAAAACGATAAAATTTACAAAGTTAGGGAGGGACATACCAATTAAAAGAGGCCTCTGTCATTGATGCTAATGCTACTCCACCAACAACGGGAACCAGAGAAGATACAATCCAAGGAGATGGCCGCTACGTGGATCACAACAAGCTCATCATTATATATGCTAAATAAGCTGAATTTCTAGTGTAATACTCAAAGGGATAAGAATCAGATCGTCAGAATCAAAGATACATGAGGCTGTTCTCCATAAAGTTATGCTACGCGGTTATAGCTTATATCACGCGTTTAGTAAACAAGTAAAGTGCTTTCAAGCCAAATCAACTGAATGTTATATATCATGAAGAGGTAACATTGTAAAAATTTTATACCTCTGCAAGAAACAGCGCGGAAAGAAGCACGGTGAAGAATGGTTCCATTGCTTTGATTGTGTGAGTAAACGAAACGGCTACTCTCCCAAGACTGATGTTCGTTAGAACATTACCCAATGTGTGAATTGCAGCTAGTGCGAATATTGCTTTAAACTGGAAATTCAATATATAAATCAAAACAAAGAAAGTTAGTCATACTGAAAACAAAATTCTCATATATGAAAAATGGATGGTTTTACGTGTTTTTGATATGACTGGATGTCATTTTCTGTGTAAAATATATATATATTAAAAAATTAATAATGATATTGACATATCGAGTGTGTTTTGATGAATTTTGGCGTGGTAAAGTTCAATAGACGTCGAAGCAAGTATCATGAAGTTAAAAAGTATTAAAAAGAGTAGCTCCCGTACGCAAATAATGATTTAGTTTAACTTGACACGAGATTTTTTTAAAAAAAATAAATAAAGATATTTAAATCTATGCTCCCAAATTAAAGTTATATCTAATATACAAAATTATTCTTTAATCTCGTAGCCTAATCATCTCAGGTGAAAAGATGAAATTAAAATGTAACAAAAAAAATTATTTTTTTTATTGAAACGGAGGGAGTAAAGTTTTTCTCACGAAATAAATTCTCTGTTAACAAAATACCAGAAAATACAACAACAGCAGCCATGTGTGTAATCGGTCTGGGGAGAGTAGGATCAAAGATGTATGCACAATAACAGCAATCAAAGCAGGATAGAAAGGAAAATACTGAATTTTCAAAATAACAATAAAAATAAAACACATGAAGAAGCGGAGAGGAGAAAGAGTAACTTGAGATTTACTGATTTTTGGTATCGGATGAAGACGAAATCCCCACATAAAGAGTATTAACAAAGTCCCACAGCCAAATTGTGAGGCCGTAACAGTCGCCGGAAATGGAAAAACCTTGAGTACCTGTTTGTTGTAAATATTATAACAAATATTCAAAAGGTACCAAATTCCAAACATCGCGCCCAGTTGAAGCGTCTGTATCACTTCCTTGGGTTTCACAACCTCAGATTCACCTGCATTTTCTGCTACAGCCCTCACTTTGAACAGATCCAGTCTACATGAACTTTTCGCCAGAATAGCAACACTAGTTTTTCGAATCGAACAACTTTTTGGCTTGTGCAAAGCATAATGCTGAAGAGCTGAGTTGAACTTATTACTACTGGTAATGAAGATTTTATTGGAAGGTTTTTGAGGCTTTAGAAATGGTGTGGGAAGAGACATGTAAAATGTAGAGGTTCCCATGGTTTATGGTTGAGAGCTAAATCTATTTCGTATCAGCTTATATCGACATTGATGGTTGACATTCTTCCATTGAAATTTCAATTATACATCTATATGTTGGCAACAGATAAAAAATGAATATTGCACAACTTTAGCAGGGAGGAGAAACAACCATTACTATTTATATTATTATTATATGCATTCCCTCTCATTTTATATATGTGGACTGTTTGGCAGGATGAAGATGTTCTTTATTGGAAAATAATTGAATTTTTTTACTTCATCATTTCATATTAATTCTATATTTGTCATTTCTTTTAATTGAAATTTTTGAGGGGTTGAAATATTACCCATATTTGTCTTTTCCTTTAATGGAATTTGATATTTTTAGTAGGTAAATTATACTATTTAAAAAATTATTATTTTATGATTTTACTACCGATAAAATAAAATTATATCCTTTAATGTTTTTTTGATGAGAAAAGACATAAATTGACATCGTTGTTCCGATTTTTTAAAAAGACATTTAAACTATGCAAATGTACTGTTATCCCCTTAAATAATTCTGAACTAATATTATTATATTATTTTTTGTCCACCTGACATGGAGACTTTATGCATTCTCTTAAAGAGCGTGAAGAAACTAAAAGACGAATATAATTTTATTTTTGCAATTATTTTGTTGTAAAATATATTTTCTTGTTTTTCTTATTATTTTAACTTTTTCTCCTTATTAATTTTCTCTTTTTCTTCTTTCTTCTTCAAAAATTCATTGTCATTTTCATGGTAACTTTTCAATTTCAATTTCATTTTTTATTGCAATTCCACCTCTCTTTTTTACTACTAATAGTTTAACTCTTTTCAACTTTAAAATTATATCTAAATATTTTATTACATTTCGAACAATTTGATAACCCACTAGATTTCAAGATGATTAGTAGGTATTATTTATTTTTTAAAATTCAAATTTCACTTAAATTTTTTCAATTTTCGGAGAATTCTGATTCTTACAAAATTATCATTTCTAGTTTTGAAGTTGTATGAAATGAGATAAATTAATTGATGATACCTTCATAATTTTAATTTTCTTAAAAAAATAATTAGTTTTGTTATTAATATCACAAATACTAAAAAATAGTATAATTTTGAAAGAAGAGAATTTGATCGAATAAGAAGAAGAAGAAAATTGGAGGGGCTCAACTTGACGTAGGGGTGGGGTGAGGTGAGG